GGTGACGCTGAAAATATCTGAAGGCAAATTATGAAATATGTAACAGAAACATGAAGGGGGACTGGGAATGTAGCTCAGTGACAGAAAGCTTCCCACACGTAGGCAAGACCCTGGCACGGGGACGGGTGACAGGACGGGACTCGGTGAAGCAGCTTTCCATTTACCGGAGGGACAGAGAGAATTTACACGACCTAGTCTCCTGCGTTAACATCAACAAAAGCAGAGCATGGGGGGAGGGTGGGAAGCGAAGGGGACGGGGTGGTGCTGCTCTGTGCACCAGCTCCCTTGTATGAACTGCAAACACGGGCTGATAAAAACACCAGAGCAGGGCGCGCTGGTCCACGCCTGTGATCCTAGCACTCAGGAGGCCAAGGCGGGACTGTTGTGAGTTCAAGTCCAGCCTGAACTGCAGAGCAAGACCCTGTCTCAAAACACCAAATTAAATCAATTTTTAAAAACTGAGCCAGGTGTGGTGGCGCACGCCTGTAATCCCAGCACTCGGGAGGCTGAGGCAGGAGAAGGGAGGCTGAGGCAGGAGGATCGCTGTGTTCGAGACCAACCTGGGCTACATAGTGAGTTTCAGGTCAGTCTCATGACCCTGTCTCAAAACACAAAAACAAAAACAAAAAAAAGAAAGAACCGAAAGAGCGGCTCATGTAGTCTGTTTCAAAAGGAGGCCAGGAGAGGTTTCTGCTCACTCAGAGGACACACATCCCAGGCAAGAGACACATGTGTCCCAATGTGCCCTCACACACACTGCACATGTACAAAATACCATGCAGTCCCCTGTCCACGCATACAATCATATCGAGGGGATAAAAGAATCAGCATAAAGGCACACAAAAGAGAAAAAATCAAATCCAAAACAGAAACAAAATGAAGGCAAAAGGAGAAAATACTCAATAATACAGAAAAATCAGTGAAAACTAAAAGCAGGTGTCTTTAGATGACTGGTAACACTGATAAGCACGACCAATCGAGGAAAGAAAGGCAAACCACGAGTACCCGGCTATCACTATGGACCCTCCCGTGCTGTGCCTTTCCTCGTGTGTTGATTCTGGCTTCTACCTCCGTATGTATTTTTTAAATTATACTTTTGAAGTAAGATATTTCTGAGCAGTCCAGGCTGGCCTCACTACTGGGCTCAAGTGATCTTCCTGTCTCAGCCTCCTGAGTGGCTGGGACCACAGATGGGACCAGTGTACCTGGTTCTCACATTTTAGATAAATGCATGGTGCTTCTGGGCACTGGCCCTTGCACGTGCTGGTGACCTTGGCGATTCTCGCCTCTCTTTCCCACCCTGACGATCAGCACCTGGGGTACGAGTTCTCCCCAGTGCTGGGTGGGCGCTGCCCACCGTCCTCTTCCCAGACTGCAGCCAGGAGACCGCAGTCCCAGCTTCCTGTCCGGGGTGGTCTGGGCTGCCCCTCCATGGCTGTTCAGGGTCTCTGCTTGCCCACCAGCTGCCTTCCCTGAGCCTGTTTTGGTTTACTGATGCCCCAGAACGTCCCAGTGACAAGGGGCACACCCTGCTTGAGGCCTGTGGGGTAGAGGCAGCGTTGCCAGCACCCTGGAGCGCTGCACTGTGCTCCCCAGGGTGGACCCTGTGCTGTTCCCCGCTGCTCTCCTCGTGGGAAGTGCTCTGCACTCTTCTCACACCTGGCTGCTGTCACTGCACAGAGTGGCTTCAGTTCCCCCACGGGGTCATGCCAGCAGTAGCGTGCTTGGGGTGTGCACGGTCAGTTCCTGCTAGGAAAGTACCACTCGCCGCTCGCCATTCCTGGGCAGTGGGCGCATGGTAGTTCCCAGGTTCTATTTTTTTCATTTTGTTTTGTTTGAAACAGGGTCTCACTATGCAGCTCAGGCTGGCCTCGAACTCATGGCGATCTGCCTGCGTGTGAAGACGTTTGTGTCTTTGCTATTGTCGAGTGCTTGCTCAGGTATTTCACAGTATTTCGTGGGTTTTCTTCATGTTATCAAGTTGTGTGTGGTTATGGGAAGTGAAGAGCTGCATGTGGACAATCTGAGTCTTTGAACTGCATCCCTTTTTACTAGAAAACTATTGTTTAGCTTCTGTATGTCATCTGCATGTCTACATCAACTTTAATTTTGTATTTTGAGATAGGGTCTCACTATGTAGCCCAGGCTGGCCTCGATCTCTTGTTGATCGTCCTGCCTCAGCCTCCTGAGTGCTGGGATCACAGGCATGTACCACGCTGCCTGGTGATGTTCACAATGATTTTAGAATCAGCTTGTCCATTTCTGCAAAGGTGGCTCACTGGGATTTTGGTTGGGAACATAGCGAATCTTTACGAACTGGGGAGAACTGCTGTTACCATCCTACAGTTTCCAAAATTTATGCCTAGGTCCTTAATGTTTTTGGTTCTGTTGTAAACAGTGTTATTCTCATTTTATTTTGCATTGTTTGCTGCCAGACCACAGAAATGTAATTAATAATACGTACACTGACTTCACATTTCGTAACTTTGCTAAACTTAGCAGTTCCAGTGGCACTGGAAACATTTTCCTGCAGATGTTCCACAGGACCACGCCATCTGTGAAGAGGGGCTGCTGTGCTGCTTCTTAATCTATGTCTGCTAAATGCTTTTAATTCAAACATATTTGGCCTTGTGGCACCAGTTAGGACCTCCCGAGTCGCATGTGCGCAGGCAGTCCTCGCTCCACCACTGCCAGCGTGTGCTGGTGCTGTTGTCGTAGGGGCCTCCATCAGGAGCGCCGTTCTACTCCTAGTCCGCTCGCAGTATTTCTTCCATGAGCATACACTGAACTCTGCCAAAGACTTTTTGTATATCTGAGATAACATCTGCCTTCCTCTTTGGTCTGTGGATACTGTGAGTTACATAGCTTGGTTTCTGAATGTTGGGCCAGCCTTTCACCCCCAGGCCAGATACCGGTGGTTTGCGGTTATTGCTGTCCTGCAGCGGTCAGTTCGGTTGCTGGCCTTGGTGTCCAGTCTGCAGTTTTTCCCTCCAGTGCCTGTTCCTCCTCAAGGCAGCAGGGTGACGCCAGCCCGGGACCGCACATGGAGGCAGAGCCGTCCGAGTGGCTCGCTTCTGAGGTCTCGAGGGACTCGCTGGGCAGCCCTCCGCCTGCAGGGTCCCGACAGGAAGGTCTAGTCACGTGCTTGAATTGTCCAATTTTGTCTCACTTTTGGTAATTTGTGACTTCAAGTTTGTGGCTGACTTTGTCAGTTGTGTTTAAGCTACTGAGTCGATTGGCATAAAGTTCATTTCCCAATTCCTAGGCCAGTGATAGCAAAGCTTTTAGAGAAGAGCAACCCCCAAACAGCACCCAAAACCCAGCACTGACTTAAACCTGGATACTGAGGTTTTAGTTCAGAAAAAATAACTTGTACGTCAACATCTCTTACAGCAAAAGAAAAGTAAAACTCGTGCCACAGCTTCTGCAAGTGACCCCTTTGTGTAGACGGTGGTGTGTAGACACGCGGCAAACACACACACACGAGGCCCGACCAGCCCTGAAGAACGGCAAAGGCGCCAGAGAGGTGAAATGGCCAGACTCCCACCGCAGCCGTGACGAAGGAGGGGGACACCAAGCAGCAGGTGCCTCCAAACAATACCCCGGGGTGATGGACAGCACGAGGAGAACGGCACATGAGTCCCATTCACACCACTCCCTAGGCAGAAACCTGGTCTCAAGTCAGGTGACACAGGGGGCACACAGGCAGCGGGAGGCAGGGTTGCGGTCCGGGAGCCACAGAGGACCCTGCACCTCCAGCCAGCCCAGCTCTGCAGGACCGACGGGGTGAACTCCAGCCCGGTTTGTCTGCGCACTACATGCACACAAATAACCTGCAAGGACGCAAACGCCAACCACCTGCACAGATGCCAGGAGAGGTGATTTGCAAGTCATCTTTTCACTCATACACAGCATCAAAATTTCCTATAACCACCACATCATTGCTTCTATAATCCAGGGAAAAGCCCTTCAGAAACTGTGAAGAGTGAAGCCTGAATTCTGCCCATGGGAAGCTCCTGCCCAGGGGCCGAGTCTGCGGAGGTGTGCACAGTTCCACAACCTCCCTTGCCCAGGATGGGATTAAAACTGAGGCCTCAGCACTTAGCTGCACCCCCAGTCCACTTTCTGTATTTCTAGTTTTGAGACAGAGTCCCGCTAAACTGCCAAGTTGCCCAGGCTGGGTTCAAACTTGCAATCCTCCTCCCTCAGCCTCCCAGTGCAGGGATCACAGAAGTGCAGGTGCTCACACCCAGATGCTCTGCCAGGACACTGGCCAGCATCCAGGTCCAAAGCAGGCACAGGTGGCATGGGGACCTAGTAAAGCTTTCTGTCCCCAAGCCAGTGGGCTCAGGGGGCTGGGTGGCATCTGTCCAGCTGACTCCCCAACCCACTAAATCAAGAGCAGGTCAGAGCCAAGTCCAGGCCCCAGCCCTTCCCTGGTATGAGACCCATCTGGCACAGCCAAGGCTGAGGCCCTGAGGGGAGCCCGCAAAGGGGGCCGCTGGCCTGGCTGGCACTCACCCACTCACACAAGAGTGTAAAATGCCCCCAAAGTGTCTTCCTCGAGCTCACTGACACAGCCTCGCCTGGGCCCACACAATCCTCTCCCCTTATATCCTGTCCTGAACACAGTTTGCAGGTAAGGAAGCTCACTACCCCAAGGCCCAGAGATAACTGTATGGCCTCCCTTATGTGCATCACGTAGACCACACTACACTTCTAAGCAGTGTTCAGGAAGATATCACACGTCTAAGCACCGAAAGAAACACCACTGCACACAGGGACCAAAGAAAAATAAAAAGTCTCTGTTTGTTCAGATCACATATGCACCACATTCTCAAATCTAACCCGCCTCACCCCGCTCTCCACACTGAGAATTAGGCCTGTGCTGTTCCACCAGTGTGGATATCGTGCTGGTCTCAGACAACGGGACTGAGCAGCCGTCCAGAGCAAAGGACAGGAGCATCTGGTGTCAGGGACAAGGACCCTGGGGCACCCACCTTGTTGATCCAGAACACCATGGCGTCCTCGAGGTCGTAGGGAAGCTCTTTTGAGGCACTGAACGTGGAGAAGCGCTTGACGCTGGCCACCACCTTTTCGATGCTGATCATCTCCACAGTGTAGGCCATCATCAGGGCGTCCACCATCGCCATGTGGGCACTCTGGGGGCAGAGGCGGCAGCTGGCACCCAAAGCTCCTCCTTCCACATCCCAGTGCAGGGGCCCTGCACGGACTCACTCCTTTCTCCCCTCCTCACACCGAGAGACGGACTGGGACCTACAGGTCCCCTCAGGACGGGTGGGGTGCAGACACCAGGGGGCTGCAGGGAGCTCCGCCCCATCTCAGACAGGGCTCAGGGGACTGGAAGGGTCAAGACGAGCACACCATGCACGTGCAAACCTGGGCCAGACACTCACCATCTTTATGGGGGCGTGGCCGAGGTCGGCGTCCGTCACTGGGGTGTCGTCACTCTCCATCACGTAGATGCCCTTCCGGGACAGGGCCTGGATGACCGACTGGTGTCCTTGCAAGGTGGCTGCCTGGTCCCCTTTGAGGATGAGGCTGCAGACGCGGCAGTAGAGCTCACTGGAAAGGAGCAGCTTGATGACGGGTGGCTTGATGTGCTCCTGCTCATACTGGTCGATATAAAAAGGGTCTCTGAGGTCCTCTGGGATGTTGTCTAAGACAGAGGAGAGCACTGTGTGAGCCAGACCTGGACCTCCAGGCCTACAGACACGAGAGCGCCCAGGGCAACCCCGGCAAAGCTGTGGTCAATCGACAACAACTGGGCACTGCACTGACAAGAGGTCACGTGGACGCAGCAACGCGCCACAGTTTGCAGTGGCAGCGCACCCCGAAGACTATAGTGACAGGGCGCGGAGAAGAAGCTTGGCCCCTGGTGACCCAAGGAGGGTGTGCAGCAGGATGGAGACAATAACTGGGGCCCAACAGCCATTCTACCACGGTGATACATGGGTCTGGGCCACTGTAACTGCGACAGGGACAGATCGTGCCACCACCTTTCCTCCTCTTCAGACCAAGCAGCACCCAACCCTTCACACGAGCGTACACCTTCATCCTCACTGCCTCACTGGATCAGGGTGAATGCCTGCACCACTGGCACTGGCAAGGAGGCAGGAACCATGCCCAAGCCTGGGAGGCAACACGCTGCCCGGCACACGGACACACACATATGCCCGGGAGCTGCCCACAGACATGAGGGCAGTGCACCACCGCTGCTCCACCTCCTCCTCCTGTGTCCCTCACAAGCACCTGCAAGACAGACTCTGCCTAGACTGCAGGGCAGCGCAGACTGCAGCACCCCAGGGCCTTCTGGAGCTGTCCCCACTTCTACAAGGGTTTAGAAGGGGCCACCATCTCCAGGAAGCCTGCTGAACAAAGCCCAGGGACACCAGCCCTGAAGCGGCCAGGCCCACCGAGGGGGTGGCTGTGCCTTATTACGCCTCAGCAGCATCCTCTCTCTCTGCTCCTTCTGTTTCTCACAGGGGCTATTTTCTGAGCCCAAGTCCAACTGTGGGTGTGTGGACCTGCCCTGGGCCCACACTCCTAATGCTCCCCTCGGCTTCCTCTTTCCAAGCAGCGTGGCCAGAGCACACACAGCACTACACTTCTGAGTCACTGTGCTGCACATCTCAGATGGTCACTATGGCAACCCTGCAGGGGACAGGGGCTCCGCCCAGGCTTAGTGGATGTCACCTTCTGACCACACCAGGCAGCCGCCTACCCTGAAACCACCACAGTTTTGGCAGAGATCATAGTAACAGTAGAGGGAATTGCCCCAGTGTGGAGCACAATCTCCGGCCCCTGCCTCCCGCGGTGACATCAGAGCAGGGACAAAAGTGGGCAGAAGCAGCCCCTATGTGGGAGATGTCACAGGAAACAGAAGTGCAGTGCCAGGGAGTCCTGTAGTCCGGCCGTGGTCTAAGGAGCTCTCAACGGCCACCAGGAACAGGATGCACTTGTGGCAGCCCAGTGGCCAGGGCTCCTGGCCAGAGCCAACATCACCGTCCTCTGCTCTCCTTATGCACCACCACTGCCGCAGACTGCAAGAGACGCGTCCTACCTCCCACCCCGGTAAGCCCATCTACCCAGTGACTTGAAAGACCCCAGACAGATGAGCAGCGGCCCCCAAGCACATGCTCTGGTCCAGCCCCTCCCTGAACCGCCCCTTCACATGACACCCATGCCCGGTCCCCACTGGCTCACCCAGGCCACCCTCCCCTCTTGTCTGGACACCTGGGAAGGCTCCAACTAATGAGAGTGGAAACCAGCAGAGCTCAGGAAACTCTTGCAGGGTAAGGCCCTCTGAGTACAGGGGACAAGGGCACAGGACAGGACAGACAGGTTGGCACAGCTGGCCTGCAGGGGGCGTGAGGAGGCCCCAGAGCAGCTGATGGAGCCTGCGGCCACAGGGTGAGACACTGAATAAACACAGGAACTGCAGCTTGGAGAGCTCGACCAAGCCATGAGCTTCCTCGGAAATGATCGATCGGCCCAGAGAAACACTTCCCTGGGTCACTTCAGCTCTGCACCCTGTACACACAGGAGCCACGAAAGCCATTCCTACAAGCTCCAGATTCACCACGGGAGCCCAGAGGCCCGGGGATGCGCCGAGTCCCCCACCCCAGCCAAAGAAGCCCGCGCTCACCACCACTGTCCACTTGGCCACCAAGAGCCGTAGGAGCACAAGCCTGATGTTTCGAGTTTATTGGTCCACAGCTATCTTTAAAGCAGCTTTGTAAATGCCTCCAGCTGATTTCTGGTGACTTATTTTTCATTTCTTCTACAAATCAGAGTGTCTGTTAAAATTACTCACTCAACAATCACTGAGCACCTGTATAAGCCAGGAAAAGCAAGGGAACGCTGGGGAGCCCAGGGGTGAGGCTCCACTGGGGACAGGGAAGCCACGGGCACCTTCCACACAGGAGAGGCAACAGTGCACCTCTGCCAGATCAGGGAAAGGCCCTCTGAAGGGGGTGAGGCCCTCAGCAGCCAGGAGCCAACATGGGGGCCACAGCCGATGGTGGACTCAGCTCCAGCCTGCTCCCTTGCATGGCCTGTGTTGTGGGGCTGCGTGAGAACTGGGCAATCTGCCCAGGGAGAGCACCTGGGGCAGATGCAGGGCACAGGGAGCCACACCGTGGGCCTTAGCATTCCTCATCACTGGCAGCACTGTTCTGAGATGCGAAGAAGCACCTCAGCCCTCGCCCTCCGCCAGGCTGTGCGGAAATGCCCACACCAACCCCAGCTCCTCCTCAGCCAAGGCTGCAGGCAACAGGCTGGCCACCACACTCGAGGCTGGGACTGCTGAACCCAGGAGTTCCAGGCCATCTGGACTACACAGTAAGACCCACCTCAAAAAACAAAGGGACTGGTGCAGCTTGGTGGTAGCTCATGTGACTAACATGCACAAAGCCTGAGTTTGAGCCCCAGTACCACAATAAGAAAAAGCAAAAACTAAAAGCTGGCACGGCCACTGCAGGGTCACTTTCATTCTACCCTCATGCACCACAGGGAGCCACAGCCCATTCCCCAGTGGCAGGAGAAGCAAACTCGAGGAAAGGCGGCCTCCGTGCTGCCCCAGCTGCGCAGACTCAGCCTCTATCCAGGGCCTGGAAGGTAGTCCCTCGGAGAGGGATGGAGGGATCTTTGCCCATGCGTGAAAGGAAACCCACTGCAGGCACCATGCCAACAACTGTGAGAACCACACACAGCCCCCATTTCACACGGTGCCCCAGCGAAGAGCCACGCACTGTGCAGACATAAGCTTAGGGCCAGGGACGGCTCCTACACAGCCAGAGCACCAGTGTCCCCCGGGCTCCCGACAGGGCCATAGTCACAACACGCACTGTTCCAAAGGTCCAATATACCTCTGAGTTCCTCAACAAATGAGAAAAAACAAAAACAAGAAAACCTGTAACTCTCAAGAGAAAAGCAATCAATGGATGTGACCCAAATGCTGGAACTGCCCAACAAGGACTTAAAGGGATTATTACAACTATGCTCCAGAAGTGAGAGTGAGCATCTCAGGGAAAAAAACCTAACACAAAACTCTAAGAAAACTGGGGAAAGAAGCCCAGTGTGCAGGGAAACCAAAAACCACAGCAGAGGGCCGCCAGGTGCCATGAACAGAAAGATGGGCAGGAAGCGGCGGCACAGCCCTCCCGCTGGGCCCAGACCACGATAGGGAGCCCACAGGAAGGCATCGGGAGCACTACCGCACCACCTCCCCAACTCTGACGCAGGGACAGTGCTTCTGGAAGGTCGGGCCCAGCAGAGGGACACCCACCTCCCCGGGCGCAAGGAGACAAAGGGCCAGGGGAGTCCAGACACACGCCTGGGCGCCTGCACCCTGAGGCCCACAGCAAGGGTACCTCAGCCCCCAGGGAAGCATCGACACAGGAATCCCCCAAGGTTTCCAAAGCCAGCACACAGAAAAATAACGTGGCACCTGAGAAGCCCAGCGGTGAGACCAAGAGACTGAACAAGCTGGCCCGACAGGCAAAGGCAGGAGAAAAGCACAGAGAACAGGAAGTTGCTGTACCCTGAGTGGGGAAGAGCACACTTCTGGGGTGGAGGGCCCCTAATTTGGGGGGTCCTTCGCCACAGGGTTAGGGTTAGGTAGTAGGGGGGCAGTACACACAGCTGCTGCACAGGGGCTCTGCTGCCTGTCCCTGACAGGACCGTGGAGACTCGTCGCCGGCCCAGGGAAGGGTGCACCCAGGCAGCCACTGCACCTGCGCACAGGTCTGCCCTCTCTCCTGGGATCCCAGTCCAGACTCAAGGAGGCGGCAAAGCGGTGAACCTGTTTTCAAGCATCTCACCTGCTCTTAACAACAAAACAAGGGTCCCTGGGCCCGCCCAGCAGCCTCCCCACACTCGGGGTGGGAGCGAGAGAGGGAAGCAGATGGGTCTCCACTGAGCAGCCACGGAGCCATAGCTGAGATGGACACAGGACTGGCCACTGGCTCCCAGCGCCTACCGGAAGCGAGTGTCAGTCCTGCCTGTGGGAAGACACCACTCAGACCTCAGATTAATCCCAGCAGCTCCAAACACAAACATCCAAGACACGGTCCACAACCACTGGACACATAAAAAACCAGGAAAAACCACCAGCAGTCAAGGGAAAAGACCCCAGAGAGGCCAATCTCACTCACTGTGACCCAGACGCTGCGCTGCCAAAGGCTGTGAGGCGTCTGGCTTCACAAGCTGAAGGCAAACTCCCGAGAAAACCTCACTTCACATTCAGTAATAGAAGTGGGTTATATAGCGGCATGGTTTGTAATAGCTAAAACTTGGAAACAGCCCATTTGCCCATCAGTTGGAGACTAGATAAGAAGATGTGGTTTTTGTATAAAATGGAATATTACTCAGTCATAAAGAATGAGAAATTTAGTCATTCATAGGAAAATGGATACACACTGAGGATATACTCCTAAGTGAAATAAATAAGTCACACATGTATAAATACTGAATAATTTCTCTGGTGTGAAAAACTATAATGGTACATAAGATCCTAATGATATACTTGACAATATGAAATAGAAAAAAAAAGGGCTAAAGGTGTAGGGGAAGTGGGAAGGGTAGGGGAAAGGTAATAAGGGAAAAGAAAAAAATATGAGAAAAGTAAAAAATAGAAATAAAGTATTTGTAAATAGG